TTAGCCCCCCCCCCCACATCTTCAGCGACAGAGGAGAGGCAGTGAGCTCTACCTCCAGGTCAAGCCTGGTGCCTGGAAGGGCACCAAGAAGTTTCCCAGAGAGGCAAAGGTCAGTGGTGTTGAATGCAGGGGCTGCTGAGACACCAGCTTCGACATCGCTGTCGTTAAGGGACGTGGGACGGCCAAAGGACACGGTGCCAAGAGAAGATTTGATGGGAGTGGCACTGTTTGAGGTCTCTGTGAACCTGCATATGGCGAAAGTCACTGCGCGTGGGAAGGCTGTAGTGTCAACAGCTGTCCAGGTGTTCAGTTCCAGCTGACGAGTTGGTGGAGCTGACATGGTAGCAGATCTGCCTGGTCGAGTGAATATTGTAACTGGTTGCAGAGCCAGTGTGGGTCTCAGGCAGCTGCCTGGCCAGTTGCAGCAGAGGGAATGGTGAAGAGACCAAGGGTGTCGCTCAGGCTGGGTTCAGAGAGGAGCTGTCTGAGGGGTCGGAGGTGGCTCCGGCTCTGTGTCACACCCAGCTGGAGTCCATTAGGCCCAGGGGAGTGAGGTGTCCCTGCACAGAACCAGGAATGAGTCTCCAATCAGGCCCCGGCTGGCGCAGAGAGAGGCAGGTTTCTCAGGCGAGATGGCCTGCAGTACACAAACCTCCCCCCGCACCCAGCGCCAAGCGAGGAAGCGTTCCCAGACAGCCATTCGCAAACAGCTGCGAGTGTTTGAGGGTTATCGCAAAGGTTTGTTGGAGTTGGCTCATGCTGGCCATTCACAGGACACCTGGGTGCTGGCAAAGCCCGTGCCAGATTGGAGCTCAATTTCTACTGGCCCTGATCGGACTACGCAGGGACGGAATGATGCAGACGCTGTGAGTCGGGCCAGAAATGTAATGGGTTGAAGGGGCCTACCTAGCATCACTGGGGAAGCCTTGGCCAGGGGCTCAGTGGATATTGTGGGACCATAGGTGACGCCTCCCAGAAATGGGAAGAAACACGTCCTGGTGGGGGTCGATTGTGTCACCGGGTACCCTGAAGCACGAGCGTTGTCTCACGCGAGGGCGGAGACAGCAGCAGCAGCCATGTTGTCTAGTTTCAGCAGGGTGGGTTTCCCCAAGGAAATCCCATCCGACCGCGCATCTAACCAGGCAGATACGCCAAGGATATTGGCCTAAAAAGGATACGGCCAGGTGACATACTCATGGGACAGACTCCATTTGGGTGATGCCTTCACACAACGAGAACAATTGGATTCCTTGCACATGGTCATGGTTATGAAAGGGCCCTCAAAGTTCTTCCACTGTCTTCACTCCTGCTCTTCACTTCAGAAACATATTTGCTACAGATAAAGGGCTGCAAAGGATTTGCTGACCCATCCTAACAAAGGGTGTCCTCCAGAGACCATTAAGGTAGCACGATACTCAATCTCTGCTAAAAGAGCCTGCCTCGGGAACTTGCTGATTGATGCACGTAATGTAAAATCTTTACCGATTCTACTCTCAACCTTTTCTTTCTTCGAATAAACCCTTCAAGTTTAGATTCTAAAGTGTTGGCCGAGCGAGCTCTTTGGGGGTAGGATCTGCGGTAGAAATTGACCAGGCACTGTGGCCAGTCATTTAGAACTGGGAGAACCTGTTCGGAGTTGGTGAGATTGGTTGTCACAACGTCTCACCGGTGTAAGGAGGGGTGCTGGTGGTAGCACAGAAGAATGGGAGCATTTAAGGGAGTTGCTTGTGTGACTTCTTGTTGGCCAAACTCACCCTGTCCTGCGGTGTGCGAAGCCTCAGTCTGGGACAGCTCCTCAAATTTCTCACCTAAAATCAATGTCTCGGGCTTGGGAATCTGCCTCACGTCCTCAGCCATGAAGAGCGATGCAAAGAATTCATTTCGTTTCTCTGCAAGGCCCATATAGTCCTGGACCACTCCTTTAGTACTTCCACGGCCCCATGGGTTGTTAACAGGCTCCCCGCTGCTGAGCTACTTTACAATGGTTTTGCGATAACGTTTTAAGTTCTTGAGTAGATGAGATGATGGTGTAGGGTAGAGGGGCTTAGCTTTATTAGGAAAAGGGGAAACTAAGGGCTCAGGGAAAGCCAGTGGGTCCAGAGGAGCACATGAATGGGACAGAAGGGTCCCTGAGGGGAGGGTCTATAAATGGAGATGCTCTGTGACCTGGTAAGGAGGAGAGGATGGAAGATGATCAAATACGGGGCAGATACGACAATGAAAAAGAGACCTGTTTAATCCCATCCCATAATGGCAGAGAGCTAAAAAGTAACAAGTTTTCAGAGAGCTTCTATGCAGACACTACAAGGCTAACT